AAAAAAAAAAAAAAAAAAGATCAATAGTTGGCTGTAGTGAATAACAAAAGAAAAAAAAAAGAACAACAACAGGGGATTAACTTGAACTAAAATTAGGAAATTCCTTTGGTAATCCACTTGTGCACTTCTCAGAAATTGGATTTGTACAAAGCTTTTTAATTGAGTGATTTGCTTGATATATATGGGCTTTGACGGGGGTATTATTATTTGGGCGGTGGGGGCTCCCTCGCTCTTCCCGGCGGATGAAAATTTTGCCTCATGGAGGGAGAGTGACGAAGACAAAGCGAGAAGGGGGAGAGAGAGAGACAGAGAGCGAGACGAAGAGGGAGAGAGATAATATCTTCATCCCGTAAAATCAGTAACTGTCAGTTAATTATCTCAATTAAATTAAACGGTTAAGGTTAGGTATATTTGCAATATTTTAGGCTTATTTTGGTACAATTATAAATATTGATATAATGGGTGTAGAATTGTAATATAGTTAGGATTGTAAAGTAAGGGGTGCAAATTCCTCCTATTTATTTGGGAAGGCTGAAAATATCGTATGGGCTCATACATTGATATGATCTGACCCATTTTGTAATGTGTCTCCGAATCTTAGAGCTGGGCAATACTGTTCTTGAGTTGCAATGGAGAGGCCCAATATTCCAGTGAACGTAATGGGCTTCATTAGAACTTTGTCAGCCGACATTATTTTTGGCCAAAGTACATGTCCACGTGCTAATTTCACAGCTATGTCAGTTTTACGAGATAAAACTTTTAAACACAGATTTATTGCCCCATTAAACTTCAAAACCAAAATTACGATACAATAAAATGGAAGGAAAATCGCTTGAAATTTTAACTGATTCTTCCCAAAATCAGGTCGCGAATTTTGGAAATAAAAGAGAGAAAATAAAAGAGGGCGATTTTCATAGCGATTTCGGGAGAGAATACATAGCAGAAAATGAAGAAATCATATTGAGAGAGAAAATTTTGAAGCTCGAGCTCGGGAAAAAGTTCATTCAAATCTCACTTCGTCCGAGTATTTTTCGAGTATTTTGAAGCTCGAGCTCGATTAAAGGTATATTTCGAGTATTTTTTTCGTCCGATTAAGGGAGTATTTTTCTTCCGATTAATCTCACTTCGAACATGGCGGATTGGGTGTTTTTTTTTGTGTGTTATGATATATTTGTAGTATTAACTGAGATTTTATTGTGTTAATTTGCAGAAAAATGTCGACAATTATGGTGTTTTTGCACTACAATGGAGAGTGGTGTAACAACACTTACACTGCTTTTGAAGTTGGGGGAATAATGTTGAATCAAAATTGTTGTTTCAGAGATTTCACCAAGCAAGTTGCAGATCTACTAAAGATAAACCACATGGAAACAATTTTGAGTTTTAAGTATCAGGTACGAGATAGATATCTTGCAATTAAAATTGATGATGATCAAAGCCTTGAATTCTACAAGGAAATGCAGTCAAGGGATGCTGATTACACTAAGTTTCCAGTATGTGTGATTAAGGAACGAAAAAATGCTTTGGTTCCAGTTCCACTCCTCATCAATTCTGATCACAGTGAAGTTGCAGTGAATGAGTGCATTGTTGTTGCTTCTGCTTTGGACTTTGATCAGTTTGGGGCTTCACATTCTATGAATTTTATGGATTTTGCAAGGGAAGCTGCCGAAGCCATGTCGTTAGCTGCATCAAATATTGAACAACGACAGACAACATATGAAGTTGTAGATACAACATCAGGTAATCTGGTCGAAGTGATGCACAATCTATCGGTTGGACACTCCTTTCCCAGCAAAACTAGTCTGCAGAAAATGCTTGCGTTATATGCAATCAAGCACCAGTTTCAATTCAAGGTACAAAAATCATGTCATAAACAGTACTTCGTAAAGTGTGTATGGGATGGGTGCAATTGGTTCATTAAATCATCTCGAGTAGGACAATTGAGTATGTTCAAAATCAGGGAAATGGCGAAAGATCACAACTGTCCATTTGAGGTGAGAACAAACAACCAACGACAAGCTACGTCAACACTTGTTAGTGAATGCATAAAGGGGAAATTCACAAATGTGACAACAAAATACAACGCTGCAGAAATTATACACGATATGAAGTTGACATATAGCATCGATTTATCATACAAAAAGGCATGGAGATCAAAGCGCAAGGCTCTAGACAAGGTACAGGGAAAACCAGATGAATCATACGAATACATTAATGAGTACCTCCAAAAGCTGTGTAACTCGAATCCCGGAAGCATTGTGAATCTCTGTACTACTGAGGATAAACATTTCGTGTACCTGTTCATGTGTCTAAATGCTTCGATCAAGGGCTGGCCACATTGTAGGCCTATCATTGTGGTTGATGGCACGTTTCTGAAGTCTACATACAGAGGAGTTTTACTCACAGCGTGTACGCAAGATGCAAATTCGCACGTACTCCCACTTGCTTTCTGCATCGTGGACTCGGAAAACAATGAGTCATATTCTTGGTTTTTCAGCAAGTTGAAATCTGCCCTACCTGAAAGAGAGGGATTATGCATTGTTTCAGACGCTCATGAAAGCATCAAATACGCCATATCAAAGGTAATTATGAAAACAACAGTATATTTCTTCTTTTTATGGATGACCTGCAAGATAAGTGTTGACTTTTGAATGATTATGTTCTGTAATTTATAAAATGTAGGTATATCCAGAAGCTTCGCATTGCTTGTGCACTTACCACCTCGCCAACAATCTGAGGAATAACTACAGAATATCGACAACGGAAGTTAAGCATGCATTTATTTCAGCCTCTAGAGCATATACAAAGGAAGTGTTCAACAGGTATATGGTGGAAATGAAGAAGTTGGATCCAAGGGTACCAACGCATCTTGAAAAAGTAGGTTTCCACAAATGGGCTCGTATTCACTGCCAAGAAAATAGATTCCTCACAATGACGTCAAATGCAGCAGAAACTATAAACTCGGCTACGAAAGTGGTGCGTGAATTACCTATAACAATGTTGCTTGAATCTTTGAGATCAATACAACAAAAATGGAACGTGGCAAATTGAGATGAGGCAAAGTGCATGTTTACTATTCTGACAAAAAAAGCAAACAATATCCTTGAAGAAAATTACAAAGTGGCTTCCCGATTGTTTGTAAGTTTATATTATATTTATATTGTAATAATTTAATAGAATAAGTAATTTGTATGAAACTGAATTTGCGGATGAAAAGGAATTTGTGTATATGTTGACAGGTCCAGAAGGCGAGCGACCAAGTTTATAAGGTGTATAACGACGTGTATTCACATGTTGTAAATTTGGATGCCAAGACATGCACTTGCAATCGGTTTCAAATGGACGAGCTACCATGTCCACATGCCATACGCGTCATTTGGTCTTTACATATTGATCCGGTGCCATTTTGCTCTGATTATTACAGGACGACTAACTTTTTGGAGACATATGGTGAAGCAGTTTATCCTATCGAAGGTCCACAAACATTTGATGCTGTGGACAACAAAAAACAGAGACATGTGCAACCACCTATAGGCAAAGAAAAATCGGGGCGTCGACGAAAAAAACGATACAAGTCTCCATTTGAGGCTCCTAAAAAGAACAAGTGTGGAAAATGCGACGAGAGGGGCCATAATGTAAAGACCTGTCCAAATCCTCCAAAGATTAGAGTAGATAACCATTGATGATACTTGTTGAAGTTGCAGGATTTTTTTTTTCAATTATTTTCAGAGTTGATGCTCTGTTGATCCAATTTGGTGCTATGTTGGGGACTACCAGTTTACAATGAGTTTTATGTTGTGGACATAACAAGTTATTTTTTTTTTTTGCCTAATATGAGTAAATATATATGATTCTATTTTAGTGTCAACAAAAAATATTTTTTGAGTGCATGAGAGTTAATATATTGTTTTTATATAGATTGCTATTGGTCCTTGAAATTGTGTTATATTGGTGGTATCGATTTTTGAACAACATTTAGAGATTATAACGTGTTTGATGTTAGTGTAGTTGGGAATGGATTTATATGTAATTTAATTTAATAGTTAAGAAAATGTTTAGATTATCCAAAGAGAAATTGAGAAAATACGAAAAGTAAACACCAAAAGGACACATGAGATTCTGATATTATAAATTAAAACAATTAAACTTGCTAAAAATATTGTTTATTGAAACAACTACTAAAAATAAGCCAGTTGTTCATATTAAAACCATCAACTTTTTCACAATTATAAATAGTTTAGAAATTCCATAAATAAACACATAAATTACACAAGTTCAAAAATATTGGAATCTGATACTCAATGGTAGACATGAAAAATACTACAAGTAAAATACATAAATATGTTACTCAGTAAGATATACTATAAGTAAAATACAGAAATACTACAAGTATTCCTTGAACAAACATAGGAATTGGAGAAAAATGTAACATCATACATAAAAACACCAAGAAATAAACCTGATAACATACAATCATTCAAAACATGTCCAACATATTCCATAACACACAATGCCCAAAAGAAGAAACATCAGAGTTTAGTTTGTCTACATAGTCTGATAAAAATTACATGATAGAACAACAATGTCAACCAACATCGTTAAACATCAAATTCAGATGCTAATTAGTATAGGGAAGTACTAGCAAACTTCGATAATTTGCCGGCATCGGACCAGGCGAATCATCATCACTCTCGGAATCTTTTTCCTGCTTCATTTTTCCATGTGTGTACAATAGGTATGAAAACCTTAACCGTTCGATATCAACGTCAAAGTTAGCAGCATTGATGGGCACATTAAAAACAATATACTCCGCAAACGAAGCAACGAACACGCCACAATCACTGGCAAGTATGAAAACAAAAAATACAGAAAAAATGTAATTAATATTTAAATAAAAAAGAACTTATCAAAGTTGTAAACAATATTAAAATAAAACTTACCAGAATTGCTGCTGGGGCAAATCTTCCACGAAAATGACATCAAGAGGATCATTCTCTGCCTTTTCCGAGTACGGACCAATGTTTGTTTTGATGTCAGCACGTCTAGGGACAAATTTAACCAAAGCAAGAAATATGGGGATCAATATGGAATATCGCTTGACACTCTCTAGCACAACCTGATCAAAATCAGTCGATCGATAGGAGTTATAAATCATCAACGTCCTAGTTTGGAACGACAACCTCCCTAATATCCAATGGCCGACACCTTCCAACTTAACATGAATCGGAAAGAGTACGTAATCAACATGGAGCCATGACTTCCCACATAGAATTTTGAATCCAAATATGTAGTCGACAATGACACTGTCGATCGTACATATTCCCGGGTCACATGAGCTAACAATATAGCGAGAATACAGTGACTTCATCTGTTGGTCGAAAAAGTTATCCGTAGTAGTGAATTTCTGAGAAGGCTCAAGAGCATACAGACCAATCTTTCGGATGTAATAAAACAAAACATCCATATGCTGAAAATTAAATATTTAAAAATTAGAATGCAAAAAAAAAAAAAAAAAAAAAAAAAAAAAAAAAAAAAAAAAAAAAAAAAAAAAAAAAAAAAAAAAAAAAAAAAAAAAAGAATGAAAACAATCACAGTTAAATGATACTTACACTACCATCAAGGAAACAATTGTATTCAAACAAGGTGTAGAACCAATTCTTATCCGAAACCACGGCAACATTAAAATCAAATGGGGGGATTAAGGTTGTGTTCTTCTTGTCATAGTACACGAACCTTTCAGAAAATGAATTAAATATAAAATAAGAAGAATGAACAAATGAAAAACTGTGATAAAAACAACAAAATGAAAGTACATACCCTTCATTTTTCTTACGGCGATTCTTAAGCTGACCCACCTTGAACCACTCAAAGAACTCTGAAGTTAAATCAAAACGCATCGTGTCCCAAAACTCGGTGTCAAAAGGGCATGACTTACAAATAACTCGTCCTTTTTTTACACGTTTGATTTTCTCAAATGGAATATCGACCACCGACACAAGATCACCCAAATTCTGGTTACCCCGTATACCAATCTCAAGACCTTCAATAGCATCGGGAATGTCCTTCATTAAAGAAACATAACAGATCAACAGCTACGCATAAACTGTCAATAAACTTTTTTATTTCAATTCAAGGAAAACATGAGGTTTACATTTAGGACATCAAAACGAAAAATAAACAACCGATAAACCAGCAAAAAACCACAGATAAACCACAGATATATATAAAGTATAACCACAGATAAACCAACGAAAAATCACAGATAAACCAACAAAAAACACATATAAACCAACATAAACACCACAGATAAACCACAGATAAACCAACAAAAAACCACAGATAAACCACATATATATATATATATAACCACCGATAAACCAAAAAACTACAGAATAACCACAAAAAACCACAGATAAACCACAGATAAACCAACAAAAAACCACAAATAAACCACAAACAAACCACACACATATATATAACCACCGATAAAACAAAAAACCACAGAATAACCACAAAAACCCACAGATAAACCACAGATAACCACAAAAAACCACAGATAAACCAACAAAAAAATACAGATAAACCACATATAAACCACAGATAAACCACAGACAAACCAACAAAAAAACTCATAAACCAAAAGAAAAAACCACAGATAAACCAAAAACCAACAAAGTTATATGCACAAGAGTAAAGTCATATTACACTTTTGCTGGCAGTTAGCATGCTTTTTAATTTTTCCTCGGTCGTCTTATCAATCTCATCCATCATTTGCGGGGTCAAAACAGGGAAACCATCAGCATCAAAATCTACATTTTGTTCACCATTCTCTTGTACAAACTGAGAAACATATCAACCAAATAAAAAAAGGATTACTGATTTTAAATGTAGACTTAGTTGTGATCATAGAGACAAAATCAAATAATTACACTTACAATTCCAACATCAACTTCCTTGTGGATCCCAACGTTTTCTTGATGACGACTATTTCTTGGATCATCGTTGGGCTTAGCACCTTGTCCACCATTTAATCCCTTAGAAAGTAAACATAGTTAACTTAGATAAAAAATGAATTACGAAAACACTGATGATACAGAATACATTTAACTTAGATATGTTACATCAACAGGGAAAATTTGTAGATTGAACATAAACCATTGTACAAACTGAAAACATATCAGCCAAATAAAAAAAGGATTAATGATTTTAAATGTAGACAAAGTTGGGATCATAGAAATAAAATCAAA